ATGGAACAATTAAACATACAGTCATGATGGTTTCTTATCGGGTTTCAAGAAGATATCAAAATCCCCCGGCCCCATGGAAGGACTAACCATACAGTCATGATGGTTTCTGACAGGGTTTCAAGAAGATATCAAAATCATCATTATCATCATCATCATCATCGTCGTCGTCATCTTGGCTTGCCCGGACGCTCGTTGCGAGCCCGGGCAAACCTCAGGGTCTTGCTATATTAATAGTAATACTAATAATAAAATAAAACAACTAATAATAACAATAATCAAAACAATAATGAGAAAACATACTAATAATATCATGATGATAATAAACATAATCAAAATAATATATTCATAATAATAATCAGAATAATAATAAACATGCCAATAATAATTACAGTAACAATAATACCAATAACAAAAACAATAACACCAATAACAATAATATTAATACTGATAACAATATTTATAAATATATGATACAACAATGTATATATATATATGATACAACAATATATATATAAATATATATCAGATTCGTTTTGGTACCCGCTCGACAAAACAATATGGACTTGTAAAACCAATTTGGGTACGGGCCAACAAACCAAGAGTTTCTGTTTCCCAAATCATCTAATCACGTTGCCAGACTGCCAGATTTGTCTTATGGAAAATAAACAACCCAACCATGTTTTTTCTCGAACCAGTACGGTATCTTGTATTGTTTTTGTTTTTCGCTTCGATCAATCCATAAGTTAAATTGTAATGCATGCTATTTGAGTATACCCAAATGCTCCATGGTGCTCGAATATTTACCTACATTTACCCCAAAAATGGCACAGTTTTGTAGGTAAATAGTGGTAAATATACCAGCACCATGGTTCGCATATGGGTAAATTAAGCCTTACCCGGCAGCTTTTCAATCATCCAAATGGATTGCAACACTGCTCGCCACAGCAAACCCTGACGTTTTCAAAATGCTGCTAACCCTGGCTCAAAAAGGCATATTAATGTATATATGATATTTACTATCACTATTGCAAGGAAAAATCTACAGTGTATAAACACTATTTCTAACCATGTTCACCATGGCCTAACCATCCAATCGCCAAGCAGATCGCGAAAAGCATCCGAGGTGCCGCCCAAATGGTCAAAGCATAGAAAGAGACCACGGCACCAAAGAAGGGAATCATGGAGATGCCGACCATGGCCTCGCGAATCGCGTTCTGTAAAGAAGCTGTGGGTTAAAAAGAAAAAAAACGCCCGCCCAGTACGTGTAGATGGGATATTAATAGTTATAATATACATACATATATATATATATATCGTATATATCGTATATTATATATATACATAATATGAAAAGGTATTCTTAATGTTTATTAGTTTCAGTTTCATTACATTACAGACATATGAATAGCGGACAAGATTACTTCTTCATTTTCATGCCATGCGCAGAAAAGGGTCGTCCCCTATCGGTACTGGGGATTTCTGCATTCTCAGACTTTGAGGCGACTCATGCAAAAAAATGGTATCGGTATAGGGTCGTACCCTATCGGTAATGACACTTTTGCACACCTCTCAGCAAGGCCAAGGCGAAGCAAAACTAAACTAAATATACTAAATTATAGAGTATTACAGTAATACAATCATTTTGTCGGCTACTCACTCATATATGTTTTTTCCATAATTACACGACCTACAGTAATTACAAATGATCACTGATGATCACCCAGTTTGAGGAGAATCAACCATACATCCAACAGGAGCTACATGGTGGAGAAACACCTCTTGTTTGGAGATCCCATTTATAGAATGATAAGCCTCTTGATAACCATTAATTATAAGCAACTAAAACTGGTAAAGGATGGTAAAGGGCCTTAACTGCACTTTATAATCATCATATCATCTCGAACTTGGTGGGACTCATGACCAGCTTTGAAAATGCTGGAGGCATGTGGAGGCATGTGGAGGCATGTGGAGGCATGTGGAGGCATTGATTGATGAATTTTGCGGCCATAATTTTCTTGAACTGTTGGAATTTGACATGAAAACCCAAACAGTCCAATTTCCCAAAGGAAATTTATCGTCCGAACACTATTTGTTCAGTTCAGTGTTCAATTTCAATGCCCATCCGCTGGCAATGACACCAACAACAATCCGCTTTTTGAGTTTATCCATTTATCTGCAGGAATGGAAATAGTCCACACCCACATCATTCCCGGACCAGCAAAAACCAGCGTCCTAGCACATATGTTTCTGTTTTTGTTCAACCCCTCTGAAAAATATTAGCCAGTTGGGATTATTATTCCCAATATTTCCCAATATATGAAAAAAAACATGTTCCAAACCACCAACCAGTTTGCTGATGGCGTATCTGCGGAGTAAGTACACATGCACTGGGGTGATCTGCGTCCGACATGATTAGATGCTGGCCCGCGATTTTCTCCCCACATTCAGAGGTCAGCATGGAAGTCTCAAACATGCCATGTTCATCCTTCTATAGGCATTCAGTACTTTGGGTACTCTTGGTTGTTTTACATAGTTGGTTTTTTGTTGGCTTATTTCAGGTCAACGAAACCAGAATATGCGAAAGCGTCGCAACATGTGATCAGGTGCCTTCCCCCAACGCAGACCACTCCAGCACCCTTCGGACCCTTCGGACCCTTCCATGCCAAAGTGCCCAGTGAAGATCGTCTTTCCAACAAATGATGTTCCGATAGTAGACCATGGATGCAGTACCGTCCGGGTTCCCCACCTGACCACCAGGAGAACCTCTGTTGAATCGCTGAATTGATACGTCACAGTTCATGGGGGTACATCCCCCATGAACACGGGTTTGTACAGACTTTAGTAGATGTTTTTGTATGGGGTAGTTCCTCACATGCCGAGCAGAGTTTATGGTGATGGCGGACATGCGGTCACCATGGAGATTCTCTCATTCACCTGTCAGGTTCCTCCGAAAATAGGGAACCATAACCCCAAAATCCCGTGAATTTGATGACTAGAACCTGGGGATACCTGGGGTAACCGGATAGTATCCAACTTGCTTTTTGACAAATTCACGTCCATTTTTTTCTTGATTGGTCCCATATTTCTACTGCTATCAAGTGAAATCCCAGTTGTAGCTGGTGAAATCTCAAGGCCACCAACCCCGTCAAGCTGCGCATCTGAAGGGTCGAAGCGTTAAGGACGTCAAGGCCTCGGGGCCGGAAAGCACTAGGCAGAAAAATCCCTTGGAGTTGATACTAAAGCGGCCAGAGGTATAAGATATAAGTTTAGTGCCAGCCTTTCGACTGGAAAGAGATGTATAATATATATATATATAATTATGTATATATATATATGTATATACATATGTATATATATAGTTCATCATGAATCCACGAATATCCACGAGCTATTGCAGTTTGTTAAATCCTAATCTACCTAAGTTATAGAAGTTATATAGCCAAATCCTTTTCCGTCCGTTGGTAAAAACAAAACACAATTTTCCCGTTGGTTTTCTTCGATGGTCCCCCTGAGGCTGCAACCGTGTAGAAGGCCTGGCTGCGCCAGGTTTCCATGAAATCTGAGTGATATCTGGATATATCTGGTGTATATCTGCTGGATATGTTTCTCTACCTGGTAGTAAAATCTGAGTGTTCATGGATATGTTTAATGATCGTTTGAGGTTATCAGCTAATATCAGATCCTGGTAGTGACTGGTGGCAGTGACTGGTAGTGGATATGGTGTAGACCATCCCGGACATGAAACGAAACTTGACGTGTTGGCGTCCTGGTGTGTCTTTCCAATGGGCTATACCGTATCCCCAAGCACAAAAAGGTAAACTAGGTAAACTATAATTTGTTATTGATGAAAAATACTGAATAATATATATATATATATATATCAATTTATTTAAAGGTAATTTATTGAAAAAGGCAAACACATGTTTGATAATAGCAACCAAACTGTAATGATAATAACTTATAGCAATGAATAGTTGTGATAATGATATTTCATGTAGTATTTCATGAATAGCTTATTTCAATGCATAAAATATTAGTGTGTATATATATATATAATTATGCATATGTATATTTAAATATATATATATATATAAATATGTATATATATATGTATATATATATATATGTATATGTATATACACATATGTATATATATATATATATGCGGTACATGAGCCCGTTTCCTCTTCATTCTTTGGCCTCATCTACAGCTGAAACCCTTTGTAGCCTCATCTAGAGCATCAACTCAGATGCGATTCAGCTTGCGGCTTTCGTTACAGCTGGGCTTCTGAAGACAGAGCAACGTGTTTAACTTGCTTCGGAACAACTTTTTTTCCTGGGAATTAACCCCACCAGCTTGGAAATTATTGCCATGATAATCTGATATGTCCATTTAATCAATTCCCCGTAGGAATGGTTGCTTTACCAGCTTGGAAGCTCCAAAGTGCCAGACCTGGCACCAAATGTTGGTCAAACTATGAACTACTATATAAACTACTATGAACCACTATTAACCATCATTTCACCGCTATCAGCCATTCCAACCACCCTCGATTAACCACTAATAGCCAGTATTAGCCATCATTTCACCACTATCACCCATTATACCAACCACTATTAACCACTATTAGCCACTATGAACCAGTATAAGCCATCATTTCACCACGATCAGTCTTTATACCAACCACCAATTTCACCAGCATTTCACCATACTTTTTACCATATTTTGACCACAATCTTCACCACTCACGCTGAATTGCTCCCAGATCTTCCATGGCACCAGGAGCATGGCGCCAATGGCATTGATGGCTTCGTTCCAGGTGACCACCACCTCCGGATTTTTCCGATGAACAGGCGTGATTTGATGGTGAATCATGGTGAAACTAGTGGTTTAATATTTGTTGATAATGATTAGTCATGGTGAAACTAGTGGTTAATAGCGCTTCATAGCCACCATTGAGGAGGATTGAAACCCATAATTGACTTGAAAAAGGTTGATTTACACCATTTCATGTGATTTGTTGAGTCCCATTTATGGGATTTTCAATCGTGGCAGCCTTGAAAGTCTCCTATAGTCATGGAGGTTTCCTTCGCGAAAATCATCAATCAATGGTTTTTTTGTCCGTTGCCATGCTTGATTACAAGATGGTTTAGTAACTTTGAATTCTTTTGGGAGGAAGTTTTTTTTAGATGGGTTTGGATGTATTGTTTTATCCATGTTCTGCACTTCGGAAGATTGAACTCTACTTACAAATATCCCCCATAAACCCAAACGTTAACCAAGTGAACTGTGCGTCACTTAACTATCGTTTGGAAGCCTCTCCTTCTATGTTTGTATTGGTTGCATCCTGCTGTTGGACGTTTTTAAGATGTCGCTAAATAGATCAAATTCTATGCATGTTCTGCACTTGAACAATCTTTAACTCGTGCGTTGATTTTGCGGCCGATTGAGGGTCTAGCTAGGTGCAACTAGAAACCAGGGCGGTGCCCGAGTTAAGGCGGTGCCCAGTATGGTGAACTGTGCGCTAATAACTCACTAGGGTTTTTTTGATACACATAAATCTAGTTTTCATGAAATTGTAAATCATCTTATAACTTTTCTGGGCACCACCTTGTACATGTTCGATCATGTTCACATTCATTCAATGAACACTGATGTTTTGGAATCAGGCACCCGGCACTGCCCGGCACCTACTACTGACCCTAACAACAACGAAGGCTGTTTGGTGGATGCTACTACACGACTAAAATGCCGGTCCACTGACGATGAATCCTCCCAATTTGGAGAAATGAAGTGGCAGGAAAACATGTCCAAAGGTTTCTCTTGTACCACCCAGATCACCCATATATGGCATGTCTACTACACTTGCTGACTTGCTGCAAAATTCATCCAAATGTAGGTAACAAAAACCGTACTTGTACATTCCATAAATTATCCCATATGCTCCATGTATGGTATATTTACCTACATTTGGGTGATTTTGTTCGGGTCAATGTTGGTAAATATTCCGAAACCATGGAGCATATGGGATGGTTCGGACACGATGTGCAGAATACCCATGGCTCTTTTTGTGCAGAATACCCAGTGGAATGATGAGCCCAACACCCACAGTAGGCCCTCACATGCTAAGTTGATGCACAGTTCACGGCCCGGTTAATGGGCCACGGGGCATACAACTGTAGCATACCAAAAAGAGCTAAATAGTTACTTGGCTAACCAACTTGGAACTGGGGGACCCTTACCTTGTATCACGATAAATCACGTGTTTTATGGTTTGGTCAGCCGGTAAAATCGCTCTGCTTGGTGTCATAAATCACCATTTGTGGGAACCATGTACTACGCACGGGATGGGGCCCCGGTTCGTTTTCGAAGTTGGCGCAAATAACTATTTCATAACAAGTTGGTGTTCTTTTCAATACGCAAATGAGTTGTGTTTTTTTCTGATGTAGGGTGCTATCATTCCCCACATTGACGTGTGGTGTTTTTGTTTTTAGTGCTGTATCCGCTCCTCCTTCCTCCCGCCTGTCCTCCCACTCAAACACACCTTACTCGTCCAGCGTCACTCTGCCGGTGGCTTTTGCGTGGCAGGTGTGGGACTTGGTGCACTGCAAAGGGGTCGGATGTACGCCCTGGCGTCCTCCGCATCACTCACACACACACACATCCCAATCACACACACTCACACATACATCACACACACACACTCACTCGCACACACATCACTCACACACACACATCCCACACACACCTCACACTCACTCACACACACATACATCCCAATCACACACACACACACGCACACTACACACTCACACACATATCACCCTTGGTCTCCGCCGCTCTGCCGGTGGCTTTTGCGTGGCAGGCGCGGGACTTGGTGCACTGCAAAGGGGTCGGATGTACGCCCTGGCGTCCCTCCGGTGTCCTGGCGTCCCTCCGCATCACTCACACACACACACATCCCAATCACACATACACCACACACTCACACACATCTCACTCACACATACATCACACACACACACACTCACTCGCACACACACATCACTCACACACACATCCCACACACACCTCACACTCACACACACACACTCATACATCCCAATCACACACACCACGCACTCACACACATATCACCCTTGGTCTCCGCCGCTCTGCCGGTGGCTTTTGCATGGCAGGCGCGGGACTTGGTGCACTGCAAAGGGGTCGGATGTACGCCCTGGCGTCCCTCCGGTGTCCCTCCGGTGTCCCTCCGGTGTCCCTCCGGTGTCCCTTGGTCTCCACGCTCTGCCGGTGGCTTGGTGGCTTTTGCGTGGCAGGCGCGGGACTTGGTGCTAGACAGATAAAGGATAGAAAGATAGATTGACAGATAGATAGATAGGTACATAGATCGAGAGATGGATAGACAGCTAGATAGATGATTAGTTAGATAGAAAGATGAATAGATAGACCGATCGATCGATAGATAGATAGATGGGTAGGTGGATAGATGGACAGAAAGACAGATAGACAGATAGACAGATAGACAGATAGACGAATAGATAGAGAGAGAGAGAGAGATAGATAGATAGATAGAAAGATAGATAGATAGACAGATAGATCGATAGATCGATAGATAGATAGATATATATAGATAGGTAGATAGATAGATAGATAGCTAGCTAGATAGATAGATAAATAGATAGATTGATTGATTGATAGATTGATTGATATATAGATAGATCGATAGATCGATAGATAGACGGAAAGATAGACAGATAGATAGATAGATAGGTAGATAGATAGATAGATAACTAGATAGCTAGATAGCTAGAGCTAGATAGCTAGATAGATAGACAGATCGATAGATAGATAGATAGGTAGATAGATAGAGATAGATTCAGATAGATTCAGATAGATTCAGATAGATTCAGATAGATTCAGATAGATTCATAGATAGATTCATAGAAAGATTCATAGATAGATTCATAGATAGATTCATAGATAGATTCATAGATAGATTCATAGATAGATTCATAGATAGATTCATAGATAGATTCATAGATAGTTACATTCATAGATAGTTACATTCATAGATTGATAGATTCATAGATAGATAGATAGATAGATAGATAGGTAGATAGATAGATAGGTAGATAGATAGATAGATAGATAAATAGATAGATAGATAGATTCATAGATAGATAGATAGATAGATGGGTAGGTGGATAGATGGACAGAAAGACAGATAGACAGATATACAGATAGACAAATAGATAGATAGAGAGAGAGAGAGATATAGATAGATAGATAGATAGATAGATAGATAGATTAGATTAGATTAGATTAGATTAGATTAGATTAGATTAGATTAGATTAGATTAGATAGATAGATTAGATAGATAGATAGATTAGATTAGATAGATTAGATAGATTAGATAGAGATTAGAATTAGATAGATAGATAGATTAGATTAGATTAGATTTTAGATAGATTAGATTAGATTAGAAGAGATTAGATTAGATTAGCGATTAGATTAGATAGATAGATTAGATTAGATAGATTAGATTAGATTAGATTAGATTAGATTAGATTAGATTAGATTAGATTAGATTAGATAGATAGATCGATCGATCGATAGATAGATAGATAGATGCAAACTTTTTGCGTGCCTTGGTGTGCTTCAACAACGTGAAGTTGGCAGATGAAGAGGCAGTGCAGCAAGACAATACAGCCACCTCGGCCATGCGGGTGAAGAGATCCCTTTGATTGCCTTTTGTCGAAAGCAGACACATCTCCTTTCCAAGTGAAACTTCGCATGGCTGGCCAGGCCTCGGTTGTCAACTGGATGCTCCAGGGCCGCACCGGAGAAATCCATCAAGTGGTCTTGGCCCAGACGGAGCAGATCGGATATTGGAGTGTGCTCTGGCAGATCCCCGTGGATGCAGCCGCCAAGGACACCGTCATGAACTACTTTGACCAACTCGCCATGGCAGAGCTGGCAGTAGATGAACCCCTTACCTTCCAAATGGACGCCTGTCAAGAGGCTGCATGTCGTCACAGACAACATGCCGGAAGAGGCGCGTAGCTCCAAAGCTTGGCTGAACACTTTACCGAAATCATCCGAAGTCGCAGCCACCCAATGCGACGAAGCGATGTGAGCTTATGTTTGCTCCGCAGCAGTCAGTCGGAGACTGGTCTTGAAGTGTCCTGCTGATTTTCCTAGCTCCGCATGCTTGCGCAATCATCCGAAGTCGCAGCCACCCAATGCGACGAAGAGATGTGAGCTTATGTTTGCTCCGCAGCAGTCAGTCGGAGACTGGTCTTGAAGCGTCCTGCTGGTTTTCCTAGCTCCGCGTGCTTTGGGCAATGAGGCATAGAGATTTCTCGCGTTTGACTGCTGAATTGTCTTCAGCTTTGTGCAAATTTAACACGGCTTGTTAACTTCGCTGACCAGAAAAAACATATGGCTGTTCAGAAGCAGGGCACGGCGATGTATCAACTCAGCTCATTCAGATTGATTTGATTGTGAGCTTATCATGGCTTGTCTATTCATTGTGTCTGCTCAGGTCATGATGCTGACCTATGGCACTTGGACAACCGATAAGTCTGCAAAGCGACGGGAGGATTGTATACACATATGAACTGAAACATACATTACCGGATTCTTGTATATTTGCCGCAAACATATCACCATATCACCATATGACCATACACACGCACAACCACGCACTCACGTACACACACACACATATATATGTACACGGGCACGCACAACATGAACACAGCACATCTACATCATCACAACATCACATACCAAAAGATCACTTGACGCATCATAACTTCACGTCACATGCAACAAGATCAGTATATCTATGTTTGCATACATTTACATTACTGCCACCTAACCTCACATCGCACGCAAATAATATCACCTCACACACACATACACATACGTATAACATCCGCATGTACATCACACATATTACAAACTGCCTCTTACACCCGGTACACATATCGTTAACACACTACCAAAGTGACACACCTGTACATGCACATACATACATGCACACAAACTCATCCACCATCACCCCATCACTCTCATACTTCCTCTTCCCTTGTTGCTTTTCTATGCTCAGTCTAATTCTGGAGAAGTTGTTAACATGTGGGGTTATCCGGTCCTATAATTTTATATTGGTACCAACTTGTAAAAAAACAACTCTGCTCAAATGACATCAAATAACTATATTTAGATGGGGCCCCACCAACAAACATAGCTCACGCCCTGGGGCCCGATTTCACTGGACTCTCTCTGGCTATCGGGCGTTTCCACAACCGCTTCCTACAGTTAGCTATGGCCCGTATTAAGAGTTATAGTATGTATATATATATATATATTAGTTAATTAAAATATAGGCAATTAAAAGTCAGTAAGTCGGCCCATTTATGGTTCATGATAATCCGATAAACATCACCATTTATAACCGGTTATAACTGCATGTTATAACTGGTATAAAAAGGGCCATACCTGCACTTTTTCTGTCTCAGGTGGTCACACCAGCCTGGAAGTACTTGGCAATCGCCAGCAGGCATAGAATCAGCAGCGCAGCACAGGGATAACAGGCCAGGGAACCCAAATAGCTCATCAAGGGGCTGCGACCACTCATCCAGCAGCCAGGCCTTCACTACGCAGAGCCACAACCCATGTATAAATATACATATCATATATTGTAGAATGTATATATATATATAAATATACATATGTATATATATATATACACAGTAATATATAATAATATATATATGGAGGTGGAGGTTTCCGAACATGGGGGTACCTCAAAACCATGGGTTTCAATAGTAAACTGATCTAATTTTGGATGATTTGGGGTATCCCTATTCTAAGAAACCTCCATATACAGAGTCCGCCTGATATTCTACTCCAGGACTCCAGGAAAACTATATTTCTATATACTAATTTATACAAACAAACAATACGGGAATTAATATCAATCATTGAACCACTCAAAGAACAAGCACCACATGGGGTCAAAATTAAAAGATCACCAAAGGCACCAAAATGGTGGTTTGAGGTTTTTTAACCCAAGGAAAATGTGGATCCATGTTCGGTGGGGACCCCTAAACCACACAGGGAACCACACGACTGGGCTTCCCGGGGGAAGCCGTGAAGCCGTGACTTCGCACATCGACCAAGGTCAACCGACATCCCCGGTATAGGTCATTTTAACCTGGTATCCTGGTCACCAAAGCTGGAATGGATGTCATTTTTTGCACCTAACTGATGGGTTCAGAACCATGAAAAATTAAAGCATCCAGTCCTTGTCCATCTCTGGAGATGTTGTGACAGAAAAAATCTTAATGCCTTCAGCCACCATCTACCATGGTCGACCTCAAAAAGTGGCTTCAAGTCCGAAATTCTTCTGGTTTTAAGTCAATTGTCTTCATCTCACCTGTTAAGCGGCTTCCATCTCAATCGCCAGTTGGTGCCCCTAGAAAGGTGCCGCCGGTTTCCAGATTTCGACGAGCTAGTAGTTCCTACCGTAAATATATATAAACCCTAGTATACGCGTTTGTCATATATGATCATATATGATATTGGCTCATGGTATACCTGGTACATGTTATAACATCTTATAACCGTTATAAGTTATAACCCAACATAACCCAAACCAGCTAACCATGGCAGCCTCACAACCTCCACATTGAAGGTCATAAAGGAGAAAACGGAGCCTCAATTGGGACGATTGAACAAACTCGTCACCCTACGTAGGAATCGGTGAGTTGAATCAGTGAGTTGAACTTGGGATAACCACACAAAATTGACATGAAACATCTATATATTCGAATGTGGAATCCAAATCAATCTAACTACCAACCATCTACCAAATAATACTCCTGGAAGCTATGGCCCGTTGAGTTCGTTGATTTACCCGTAGCGTATTCTACCCGACCTTTTGATAGTCAATGATATTCACCATGAATCCTAGCTATAGCATCCTGGAAAGCCATAATCCCACTTTTTCCATGATGATAAACAAAGATGCGTGTTTGGCTTTCCAGGATGCTATAGCTATAAATCAACCTATAAATCAAGCTAAGGGCTGGCCCTTCGAAGATATCCCAATGTTTTTTGCATCATGATATATCGTGACCTGGAAACCCTAATTGTGTTGGGCTATAGCATTGCTATAACGATATATGCCTAAATGCTTGCGTCCTTGATATTCTTGCCATACAGGTGATTGTTCCCTCTCACATTAGCTGAATCCGCGCTACATATTCTAAATTCCCTAGACGATGAATTTCACTCAACATGATAGAGAGTGATGGCCCCCAGCTATGTGTACTCCACGAACTAATTAGTTCGATGTATCTATCTAGCATCAACGCTAGTTGCAAAAAAAAACAAACAAAAGAATGGACTAGTTCGATGTATATCCCCTAAACATCCTTTCTACCCTCCTGCTTTTTCAACTCCCGTCACCGAACGCGGCCGCAAGTGACGCAGGGTCTTCAGAGGTTCCACCCATTCCACGCGCACGGTGCTGAAGTTTGGTACCCCAAGCTGGATGAGCAGCACGAAGATGGCGCCCAAGATGATGGTCGCCACCGAGTCACGACCTGAGAGCTGGAAGGTCTGGAAGGCCTGCCATGGTGCTGATGGAGATGTTGAATTTTGGGGCCGTGGTTGTTCAATGGATTTTATAAGCACTACATTTAGTTTTGCTATGTTTTACTGTAATGTTCACATGGCGTTAGTAAACCCACCCGCAATAAAGTACGCTAAGTCCCGGGACAAAATAATAAACCCCCCCCGTAATAAAGTACCCCAACTGATGTTTTTCCGTTTATTTTTTCTGTCTTTTTTTCCGTTTTTTTCCGGTTTGTTTTTCCGTTTTGTTTTTTCCGTTTTTTTTTCCCGTTTTTTTCCGTTGTTTTTTCCCTTTATGTATTCGTTTTCAATTAGGCAATTCATTTGGGAATACTAAAGTGGAAAGAACTAAAGTGGAAAGAAAGTTCCCTTTATGTATTCGTTTTCAATTAGGCAATTTGTTCGGCGCCACATAGGTCTGAAAATGTTCCAGGAACCCTAGGTGAATGTTTGGCCTAAATTTTATTGTGATGCTCTTAATGTTTGGGGGGGTTACTAATACCATGTTAACATTATATAATCATAAAATATTATATATAATTCATGAATTGATTAGTTCTTTTCTGAATCCAGTGTTGTTCCGTCTTTTTGTTGAAGGCAATTTTAATGTGCTGAGTACAGCTACCCCACCTATCATGAATGAATAGATCAACTTTCATAATTGGCTACGGCTACGATCATCATACCCAACCAAGAATCAGCCAGCAGCGGCATGGGGCAGTATCCCAATTTCGGGGGGATTGCATGTCCATTGCTAAATGTTTTGCTACTAAGAATGTCTAATTGTAGCAGCCCCCGTTTGAGAAATGTTGACCCACAGGAACCTCCCACCGGGGCATCCGAAAAGCAGGCAGCTTGTCAGTGCTCCTCAACATTTGAATCTATTACATTTATGGTTTCCTGCTCGGTTCAACAATACAATAGCTCCCACCAAGCGAACAGCTCACAAACTGTGAAGTTCAATTCTCTCGCCTAGGATTTCAACAAAAAAGTCGACAGCCTCCAGTACCACCCACCATTCTCAGGTCAGTGCAATTTCCATACCCAGATGCTCCATGGTGCTGGAATATTTACTATAACATTTACCCGAACAAAATCACCTAGTTTTGTAGGTTTTTAAATACCAGCACCATGGGTTGCATATGGGATATATAGATCAAACCTGGGATCATCCTTTTTGCAAACATGGATGGAGCTTGGTGGCCGCAGGTCGATGAATGGTCTCAAAAAGGAACCAAGCCATCAGCCAATCATCCAGGAAGTCCCCACATTTCAAAGTTGGCTTATACATGTTTATAATTTCAAGTCAATTCAAAAAAATAGAAAACAGGATAGATCATGATAGATCCTATATGTTGTCTATGTTTTTGTTGCCTATTCTCGGGTTCGCCAACATCAAAACGCGCCGAAACAAAACCCATCACCGGGATCCTCCGTCATCCGAGAAGGCCCTCCGGTAGCGATCGGCCAGGCGTCTGGAGCGATCCACGGTGACGGCAAATTTGTAGAGCACGCCCAGTGCGATGATGCCCAACAGAATGGCCGCAATCAATGGCCACACCGAGAAGGCCGACTCCTAGATTCAATAGATGCGATTTTTCTAGAGAAAAATCGATGACTCCTACAGAAAAGTCAAATAGATGAAGATACAGTTGGTAGTGTTGAGGTTCCGAGGATGTTCTGGGTCTTCATTCCCGAAATATATACTATAATAGGTGTTCATCAGTTCATCCATACCTGAATCATCATCTGGTGGAAAATTACATTTACTGTCATCTAACTGAAAACGCAGTCCTACCCATCCAGTTCCAAACAGACAGGTGTGTTGGATCTGGAAGATTTTGGGACACATCGCTGTAGATCACCGGTCTGTATAAGCCTCAACCATGGACGTTTTGTGGCGCTAATCTTCAATTTCACTACGAAATTGGGGAAAGAAGGCTAAGCTCCACACTAAGATTGAGTCAAGTTGACCAGTTGACCCCGAAGCAAGGTTGATTAATCAACTTCTGACCAGTGCACCATCCGTCATCTCTACGGCTGTATACTAGAGATTTGCCCCCGTTGCCTAGCTTTATTTTTTCGGACTGGGGTCATGTCTTATCCATTGCAGATTTTTTTTTGTAAACTCAGTAAGCTTTAAACTAATTACAGTGGATTTATCCACAGTATTTATATATACCCTAATGTATGCCCTCTGGTAATTAGACATAGCTATTGAAAATGGCCATTTATAGTGGATTTACCCATTAAACATGGTGATTTTCCAAACCTGTGTTACTTTACCAGAAGGTAAGAACTGGTGAGTCCACAAATTTCAGCGACAGAGTATAAAACATGTTTTTGTTACCATCAACTACCATCAATGGATTGGTTTACGGGAACATCTACAGGAAACCATAGATGTTCCCATAACGAAAAAAATACGTTACTTCGTGTGATCCACACCATGACATTTATACATTTTGTTACTGGCAAATCTTCTGGCATTCTATCTGACATTTTATCTGGCATTCTATCTGGAATACCTTCTGGCATTCTATCTGGCAAACATTCTGGCACTTTATCTGGCATATCTTCTGGCAAATCTTCTGGCATTCTATCTGGCATATCTTCTGGCATATTATTTGGCAAATCTTCTGGCATTCTATCTGGCAAACATTCTGGCACTTTATCTGGCATACCTTCTGGCATTCTATCTGGCATATCTTCTGGCATTCTACCTGGCATATCTTCTGGCATGTGTTCTGGCATATCTTCTGACATTCTATCTGGCATATCTTCTGGCATGTTATCTGGCAAATCTTCTGGCCTTCTATCTGGCAAACATTCTGGCACTTTATCTGGCATATCTTCTGGCATTCTATCTGACATATCTTCTGGCATTCTATCTGGCATACCTTCTGGCATTCTATCTGGCATATCTTCTGGCATTCTATCTGACATTCTATCTGGCAGATCTTCTGGCATATCTTCTGGCATTCTATCCGACATTCTATCTGGCAGATCTTCTGGCATTCTATCTGGCCGTTGAGGTCCAGCGGTGCACACTGAGCTGGGCAGGTCCCAGGTTGAGGTCCAACGATCACACTCAGCTGGGCAGGTCCCCGGTTGAGGTCCAGCGGTGCACACTGAGCTGGGCAGGTCCCCGGTTGAGGTCCAGCGGTGCACACTGAGCTGGGCAGGTCCCCGGTTGAGGTCCAGCGGTGCACACTGAGCTGGGCAGCTCCCAGGTTGAGGTCCAGCGGTGCACACTGAGCTGGGCAGCTCCCAGGTTGAGGTCCAGCGGTGCACACTGAGCTGGGAAGTTGGCAAAGAGCTTGGCGAAGAGAGTTGGAAAAGAGCTTGGCGAAGAGTTGGCAAGGCGGAAGTGGAGGTGGAAGTTGATGCAGACATGGTCGAGGAGAAACTAGAGGAGGAGGAGGAGGAGGAGGACGAGGACGAGGAGGAGGACAGCTAGCCGAGGAGGAGGAGGAGAACAACTCTGATAAAATCTAACAACCCTCACCTGGCAGGTGGGGAATATGAGTTTTCCTGTACTTTTTTGTCCCTGAAACAAATCCCTTGGTACCGCAACCAGCCCGTTCTGAACATGTTTTACCATGCATCGGAACAGGATCTGCAAATGCCATCATCGTCGTAATGGTTGGCCACGCAATTCACCTTGGAATGGATGAATTTTACCCCAGTACTTTGGTGATCAGCTGGAATATAAACATGTACGTGTATATATATATATATATATATGCATATCATATACATATATATATATATACATACATAAAGTCTCTGCATATGCATTATGATATATATATATATATTTACATTCCTATGCAATACATACACATTTAAACATATACGTAATATATACAAACATGTATAATATATATATATAAATAATGTGGGATACAGATTAGTGTGGGGATACAGAATTGTGTCCACAGACTCCAAAATTATTTTGTAACTTTGGAAATGATCGAGGGGTACAGTTTTGTGTCCACAGGATTTTGGTGTAAGTTATTTTTTTCATTTTTCATTTTTTAGTTTTTAATTGTTTTTCATTTTTATTTTTAATTATTTTTTATTTTATTTTAAATTATTTTTGATTTAAATTTTTAATTATAATAATTTTTGATTATAATAATTTTTAACTTAATTATTTTTTATTTTTATGTTTAATTTATTTTTATTTTTATTTTTTTATTGTTTTTTAAAATTGTGTCAGGATACACAATTGTGTCATTGTGTCAGGATACACAATTGTGTCTTGGTCTTTTTTTGTTGTTCAAACATTTTTCATTTTTTTCATTTTTTTAAAGCTTTTTCCTTTTACTTTTTATTTTCCATCATTGAAATTTTCCAGATGCCTTCCACAGAAAATTACATCCAGGTACACAATAGTGTGGTTTGTTTGGAGGGTACACTATTGTGTCCAGCTGCTTCCTGAGGTCAGGATTTTTTTTGTTTCAATCATATCCTTTACCTTTTCTTTTGCTAAAGTTTTTCCTTTTAATTAATTAATTACTTTCTTAGTTTCTTTCATTTGAAATTCTCAGAAATGCCCAGTTTTCCAAAATATATGATGCCTTATTAAAACCCAATTAAAAAACATCACTCAAACAATTTTTCAAGGGGGTAGTCCATGAGCAACCCTGATACACAATAGTGTGGTTTGTTTCGAGGGTACACTATTGTGTCCAGCTGCTTTCCTGAGGTCATGATTTTTTTTTGTTTCAATCATTTCCTTTACCTTTTCCTTTGCTAAAGTTTTTTCCTTTTAATTAATTAATTACTTTCTTAGTTTCTTTCATTTGAAATTCTCAGAAATGCCCAGTTTCCCAAAATATATGATGCCTTATTAAAACCCAATTAAAAAACATCAATCAAACAATTTTTCAAGGGGGTAGTCCATGAGCAACCCTGATACACAATAGTGTGGTTTGTTTCGAGGGTACACTATTGTGTCCAGATGCTTCCTGAGGTCATGATTTTTTGATTTTTTCAATCATTTCCTTTACCTTTTCCTTTGCTAAAGTTTTTCCTTTTAATTAATTAATTACTTTCTTAGTTTCTTTCATTTGATATTCTCAGAAATGCCCAGTTTCCCAAAATATATGATGCCTTATTAAAACCCAATTAAAAAACATCAATCAAACAATTTTTCAAGGGGGTAGTCCATGAGCAACCCTGATACACAATAGTGTGGTTTGTTTCGAGGGTACACTATTGTGTCCAGATGCTTCCTGGTGTGATGTTTTTTTCAAGCATTCCCTTTACCTTTTCCTTTGCTAAAGTTTTTTTTCTTTTGTGGTATTTCTATGGTATTACTATTGGATTTCTATGGAATTCCTATGGGGTTTCCATGATGTTTCTATGATATTTCTGGAGGATTTCTATGAGATTTCTGAAGGGGTGCTATGGGAGTTCTATGGTATTCTTATGGGATTTCCATTGGATTCCTATGGGATTTCTATGGTATTTCTATTGGATTCCTATGGAATTTCTATTGGATTCCTGTGGGATTTCCAAGGTATTTCCATGATGTTTCTATGATATTTCTATGGGATTATTATTGGAATTCTCATGGGATTTCTTTTGTGGTTCCTATGCTATTCCATGTTATTTCTATGATCTTTCTATGGTATTTCTGTGAGATTCCTATGGGATTTCCATGGTATTTCTATGATATTTCTTTGGGACTACTATTGGATTTCTATGGGATGTCGATTGAAAGTAAATTGGCAGTAAAATGAAATCAATTGAAAGTAAATTCAAAGTAAATTGAAAGCAAATTGAAAGTAAATTGAAATAAATTCAAAGTAACTTCAAATCAATTCAAAATAAATTGAAATCAATTGAAAGTAAATTGAAATCAATTCAAAGTAACTTCAAATCAATTGAAAGTAACTTCAAATCAATTGAAAGTAAATTGAAATCAATTGAAAGTAACTTCAAATCAATTGAAAGTAAATTGAAATCAATTCAAAATGAATTGAAATCAATTGAAAGTAAATTGAAAACAATTGAAAGTAACTTGAATTCAATTGAGAGTAACTTGAGATCAATTGAAAGTAAATTGAAATCAATTCAAAGTAACTTCAAATCAATTGAAAGTAACTTCAAATCAATTAAAAGTAAATTCAAATCAATTGAAAGTAAATTGAAATCAATTTAAATCTAATTCAAATCAATTGAAAGTAAATTGAAATCAATTCAAATTGAAATCAATTGAAAGTAAATTGAAATCAAATTGAAAGTAAATTGAAATCAATTCAAAGTAAATTAAAATCAATTGAAAGTAACTTCAAATCAATTGAAAGTAAATTGAAGGTAAATTGAAAGTAAATTGAAATCAATTCAAAATAAATTGAAATCAATTGAAAGTAAATTGAAAACAATTGAAAGTAACTTGAATTCAATTGAAAGTAACTTGAGATCAATTGAAAGTAAATTGAAATCAGTTGAAAGTAACTTGAAATCAATTGAAAGTAAATTGAAATCAATTTGAATCTATCGTTTTTTTTTGATTTCACCGTATTGCGTACCCGGTACTTTGGTTTTTTTTACACTATTCTGTATCCAAAATTTGTTTGGGGGGGGGCCTCCCCACACTAATCTGTAACCTACATTATATATATATATGTATATATATATATTATAAAATAATCTATAACAATATATAATATATCAATATATATATATAAAGTGTATATATAAAGAAATACATCATGCATCTGCATATCTCAACTTACGATATGTATTTGGGCAAAGTCACCCAGAATTCAAGTCTCCCAGAGATCGTTTTCGAACGGGAACGGGCCACCACCTTTAATCGGCGCCCATATCTCCATGGTCAGTCAGACTTGTTGAACGGAAAACTTTTGCGAGCGGAAGCCACAAAAAAATGCCCTCCCCCCAGTAGTGAATTAATGTCAACCCCGGATTAATAAACCATGGTTTATGGAAATTAGGGGGGTACTCCTCCAATAGTTATAATCCAATACTCAAATGGGTTGACATTATTCTGAATTCAAGGTTTATTCTATTCATCCTGGGTGTGCATTTCGAAGTAATGATCTTGGATTTGCTTCAACGGGCTCGTTGACACAATAGAACATATTCGCTATAGCTTCCCCGAATGGTGGATTCTCCACTGGGAAAATAAATATTCATCTTCAGCAAATCCAAGTTATGGTTGGTCTTTCTCATGCTTCGTGAAATCGGCAGGTTTTGCAATCAACTTGTCGCCCAAGAACTCAGAAATCTCCAAGTCCAATCCCCTGCGAAAAATTACCCCTCTCTGTTTGCTGGAGAACCCCCTTGGCTTAATCACATGTATGTACATATATATATATATTACTATCTTAAACAGACTGAATATTCCATATACATTTTGATGTACAATAGACTTCATAATATATATATATAGTTATTGTATAGTTGAATTATATTATATTATATTATAAATATTATACATTATATTGTAACATATTATATTAATGAAATTCCTATGTCTGCTTCAAATCTCTCTGGTTCTTCGCAAATTCACCATTTCTGTCGATGAAATCTCCGTCTCTTCCGGTTCAATGAGCTGGGCTTCTAGCAATTCCTACATGGTACCCTAGCAAGCACTAAAATAGTTCGTAAATGGATGTTTATCGCCCCCAAATATTCAAATAGGTTTTGATCCATCCCAACTCTTGTTTTCCACTATACTTGGGGTGCAGTTCCACTTTGCTAAGTGGCGAAAAAAACCAGAGTTGTAGGGCCCCTTCCCATCTTAACTTATGGAGGTGATTCTCATGGATTATACCCCATGGTTTTTCAGCCCTGAAGGTTACACCTTCGCCTTTCACTGTTTCCCAGTGACACATCCAATGCCCCAATTCCCCGCTGGACAGCTGCCAATGGGAAGTTCGGGGCAGCGAATAGCGCTCGTGCCTCAGAAACTGGGACCGAAGTTCACCCACAGGTGCCCCCTTGAATTGAAGTTTTCTGGTTGGTGGTGCAATAACTATCTTGAAAAATATGAAAGTCAATGGGAAGGATGACATCCCACCTAGTATAGAAAATAAAATTCCTGTTTGAAACCACCCACCAGTTTACATATAACCATCATCAACCCCCCAAAAATGGGCTTATCATTCAGGTTTTTATTAAGCCCCAACATTGTTGGGAAGATTACCTTTGGTGTACCCTCAAGCTTCCTCAAGCTTCAACCAGAGATTTCCATGCAATGTCCCATTCAAATTAGCAATACTCCCAGATTCAGTTTTTTTTATGTTTCTATGTACACATGTATATATATATATATATATGTAGGATTATACAGCACAATACTGCAGATTCGGATATCGGATATAGCACGTGTTTTTGCATTTTAGCAGATACTCCCAGATTTGGGTATGAAAAAAAACCCTTGGGCACCCCAAAATAAGGCGTCTTCCACTTTGACCCATCGCCAACACACCACGGTGGGGACACCTTTCGATAGCTAAGCTGGTCTATATCTCTCATAACTAGCGTTTAATTGGCGATTGTATCTTAGTAATTGTAAGTCTGCTTCTAAACCCAATCTAACTATGATTATAATCATCCTAAACCCTAGCAACATGAGTTATAAATATAGTTATAACCTATAACCCAACTTTGCTAACATTATAATTTATAAATCACATCTCAAAGTATCATAAAGATGTGATGATCAATGATTTATCACCATGTAAATCATCAAGTGAGAACAAGTCTCATATTTAGAAAAATCACCATCTAAATCACCAATTCATCACCCACAGGATCCATGGTGCTGCTATATATGGTGCTCCATGGATCCCATCAATATACCCCAGTCATGTTAGCAGATATACCAGCACCATGGAGCATATGGGTCATGGTTTTTCCATGTTTTTCCTCCACCATCCAAGGCGCAGCTGACGATGTACGCTGGATCCGCGCCCAAAAACAAAGGCGCTCCGGCCGAGTAGCCCGCCTGCTGGAACGGCGCCTGGATCTCGCAGCGCCGGAGACAGACCCATGGGATGTCGCGTTCTGGGGGCCATGGGAGGTCGATACCCTCCGGTAAACAGCCACATAACAAACTGGAAAATCACCATGTTTGATGGGTCAATCCACTATTTCTATGGCCATGGCTTCAATAGCTATGTTAGTTTACCAGAGGGTAAGGTAAGCG